TATATATCATATCTATCTATATATATATCATATCTATCTATATATATATCATATCTATATATATATATATCATATCTATCTATCTATATATCATATCTATCTATATATATATCATATCTATCTATATATATATCATATCTATATATATATATATCATATCTATATATATATCATATCTATATATATATCATATCTATATATATATCATATCTATATATATATATGTTATTAACACCAAGTAAATGCTATCTCAAGAAAAAATTTCAGCAAAGTAATCATTCAGTCAGTGATTAGAAGCATTCTTGTGCTGTAGGACATGTATACAATAATTTGAAAATAAACTATTTATTAAATTTATTTGGAGAAATAAGCATGACCTTTTGAAGACATACTATACCAAACAGCAGCAATGGCTTATGTATATTACACGGCCCAGTGACACTGAATATTTGGATAACGGCAATGACCAATTCCATTTTCAACAGTTCTGGCTCAACAATAAATCAATTATATGACTCATGTAAATCCTTTCATTTAGGTTACAAGCCTCCTCAAACCAGACATATACAAGGCCATTCAATGAATACGCCAGCCCATTCAAAGAGGGCATGTTAATCCTCACATATTTAGTAATTGTTCAAGCACCCTCTGTACTGAATTGCTCAAGCCCCCTCTGCCAGAGATTGCCTACCTGCAAGCTCTCCGTTTGCAAGCAAGCAATTGGTGTAGCAAAAGAAATAAAAGAGATGAGTCAGCTTTCTGCGACACTTGTGTGTGTGTGTTACACTTACTATAAGTGCGGTATGGTTCTTGCTGCGCACGGCCTTGTGCAGGGCAGTAATGCCATCTTTTGTTCTGAAGTCCAGATGCGCCCCTCCACTCTTTAGCACCTTGATGAGATCTGCACATCCCTCCAGCTGTGCTGCCAGCGTTAGAGGACATTCTGTAAAATGTAAGGATGAGCAATCAAACACTATAACATATTTTACTTTCAGTGACATTATTGTGCATTCTTCTTAGTATAGGAACATCCAACAATTGGAGATGTCAATATTTGATGACAAAATAGCACACTACACTAACTGCCTTGACGGCTGTGATTGCTTCCTGTTGGTGTGAAACCAACCTATTCTCAACCTCCCCCCCCTCCCCTCCCCCTTCACAGTTCTTCTGTCAGATGACAGGTCACCAAACAGGGAAATTAATCCAGAAAGAGGGAGAGAGGGAGATAAAGATGAAGAGAAAGCATAAGACTGTTATTTAACTAAAGTAGAGAAGAGGTGGGATAGTTCTTCGTACAGACATCCTCACCTCCTGTGTCTGGATCATGGAAGTTGGGGTCCAGGCCTTTTTCCAGGAACCTTGAGACCCTTTCAATGTTCCTCTGCTGCACATACTCCATAAACTTCTTCAGGTTTGCCTAATGGAGGGAGACAAGGGAGCAGGGAGGGGTAGGGGGTGGAGGAAAAGACAGCTGTGATTGGTTGATGTCAGACTCATGTGGATGTGGATGTTTAATAATGCAGTTCAGAGATGAAAGCTAAAGTCGCTGCTCTCTCTCAGTCTGTGTTTGAAGGTTTTATTTCTGTTCTGTCATGCCAAGCAAATGGGCCATGTGCAGTAGATATACAGTATATAAGCTATAATAGGATAGACCAAAAAAGACAAGGAAAGGGCTGTAAAGTAATGCTGAAATGAAGACCTTTCCTTTGGATATTGGTGCCAAGAAAATGAGATTTTAAGGCTAACGTCACATTTAGAGTGAAAATGTAATGGTCATAATATTGTACAGTGCCTGAGAGCAATGCTATTGCATCACTGAATCTAACATTGATGTTTAAACCATAGTCATAAAACAGGCAGAGACGCATGCACAAACCCACGTGCAAATCCCACCAGAATCCTAATACACTCATACTGTACACACACACAAACACTAAATTTCCTCTGTGAGTTATGATGAAAAAATATTCATCACCTCTGCTGATGGGTGTAAGCCTGTAGAGTATAGAGTGAAAAATGAAGCTGTGAACAAGGTAGCAGCACTAACATTTCACAATAGATTACTATAGCCTGAAGAATCAGGACAACAATCTATCTTGTAATATCTGAGACATAATATTATAGCACAAAAAGTAGCTAATGACTATTTGCTATACTTAAGAAAAGACGAAGTAAAATAGCAATTATTAAAACTAGTCTACTACACTATAGTTTAATACTGAACATATAAAATATCAATGAGGACAAGGACGATAGCCGAATATGAATCTTGTGGATGTAATTACAGAGACAATATCTGCAGTATACCAAATGAGCTACACAGGAAACTTTCATTACTAATGAATTCTCTGTTACTCAGCCTCAGTCATTACGTAACACATGTGCAAAACCCTCCAGACAGACACACACACACACACACACACACGTATTACATTTTACACAACTGAATTACTTACCACAAGGCATTTAATATAACAAACTTAAACACATACAAACATGTACACTCACATGCAAGAATGCGAACAGAACTCAGCAGCCTTTTACACTCACCGTGTGTGGCATCATATACTGCATATCCCTCGTTCTTTAAAAGTCACACTCTGCACCTTCCGAATGTCACATCACACTCTCCCTTTCCCTTCACACCGAGTCATCTGCAGCCCGCTTGCCTCTACAAGCTTGCCTTTTTGCTCATGCACACCACACTGACATGCTGCGTGGAGCTGCCGACTGCTACTCTCACCATCTCCAAGTCAAACTGAGTGAGAGAAATTCACTTCGGCTTTTTTTTTTTTTTTTTAGACGCTCTGTGAGGCAGTTGTTATGGTGATCGGATACAAAGACAGCTCTGGCAGCCAATGTACACAGGAGTGGGAAGAGCATTGAGGTTGTGTTTGTGAATATGTGTGTGTGTCCTGCACAATGCCTCGGATACTGCCATGAAGAGACTCGGTGATGATTTGCCAGTGATCAGCTGGCTCTGATGTGTGTTTTATTGCTTGTTGAACAGAGGGCTGATGATAAGCATTTGTAATGATTTATCTGCTTTGGCGAGGGTCTCAATAAACTCTTCATATTTTCTCAGTTTCGCTATCTTCCTCTCTCTGTAACACACACCTATAAATGCACACACGTGCAAAGACTTTCCGAGTTACCATGACATACTGACAAATCAGAAAGAAAACAAATAAAGAAAAGGATGATGGACGGTCCGATAAAGCCCTGTGCAGACAGGTGGAGTGACAAGATACAATTAGCTTGTTGTTTTGCAAGACCAATAATTTGCCATGAAACTGAAAAATATTTCAATAACATGTACTAAAATCTTAATCAAAAGAGAATTCATACAAATTTCAATATATTCCTGAATAACAATTAGATATGAAATGAACTACATTTACTTAAATTCCAAACCTATCAATCTAAGTTTTAAAAAAATAGATAAGACAAGTTGACAGTTTATATTTCAAGCTCAAAAACATTTCCAAAATTGGCTAATTTTATCCTTTGGCAATATTAAAAAATAATCCAAGCTTAAATCTCTGCATGTCTTTTATGACTCCTCCTTTAGATACTGCAATTCTCTTTCTTCCTGACCAAAAACACAACAAAAATACTGCGGAAACGCCTTCAGCTAGTACAGAGAGAGGAGTGTGGATCATTTTGTTCAAACCATCTGTGCACTGATTACCTATTACTTTTAGTAGCAATCCCTTAACTGTCGATAGATCTATCTTCAGCATTTTCATTTTCATTCATCATCTAAGCTTGTGAATGCACACGCAGCAGGATGTGGCAATGATTGGCAAGTGGGGTACAATCTTCCTCCACAGTTCATGAAATTCAAGGGAAATTAAAAAATAAAGTGGAAAAAATTCAAAGGAGTAGGAAAAGAGGAGTCGTAGCCCAATCTGTTCACATTTCATTCATTGATTTGCCAAGTTTCAATCATATGAATGTGAATACCGTCCCTCATGGCCTATCATAGGCTGGGAGGAAAACTGACTTTTTAAAAATCTTTTAATGACTTACGGTTATTATAAGGTAGTTATGGTGATGTAGCCTGACAACAACTGAGGGGTGGATGATAAACAGGGCAAAGACCATTAGGAGCAATGATATCATCCTTGATAGTCTATGTATTTATATTCCATTACAACATTTAATAGAAAACAAAATAATAAACATCAAAACCATCAGCAAATGTCCTGAAATCTAGTGAGCTAAATTATTAATCACTCAAGCTCTTAAAAAACACAAACACCATTGTTTTGTCAGATTATTATAGAAATGATGTACAGGCTAAATACAAGGTGTGTGAGGGAAACGTTTGTTGTATGCATGTAGGCTTCTCTGGCAGTCAGCCCTGTTTGTAACAGCATGCTATCCTGTCTCAGTGAACTGCCGTAGGAAGTTGTAACCCACTAACACAGAAACACCAATCGATCACACTAACAGGAAACGGTTGAGGAGCTGTAAGTGAGCTCAATGTTAGTGGATGTGTATGTGCATTGGTGAAGTCATAAAATAGGCAACTATATCCAGGCAGAAGCACAATTCTTGTTTCGGGAAAGTCACAGAATATGCAATACATGCCCCTAATTTTGTGAAGCACAAATCAATTTCTATATGACCAGCCTTAAACCTGGCAGTTTGCTTTTGTTGCTACAGTAGTTTCAATTATCTTAAGGGGAATAACAAACACACAACACCACTTCTCCATCCGATTAGGATATGCCTTACTCATGACTACATTCTTACAGCGCTCAATTTGATTACACGTTTTCATGTAAAGCAATCTGTTGTAGTTACCTCCATAGATAACATGATAGTTCACTGGTAAAATGCATCAGATACACTGGCGCACACACATGCACACACATGCACCTTATGTTACTATGGGAATCTAAATCACAACAACCACTATCCTCTCCAGGGAGGAAGGGCAACCCTAGCAGGGAGACAGAATCAGTCGAAACAAGAAATTAAAAATGACAGCTGTGGTACACTGTGGTGCCCAACACACAACCACGTATGTGCATATTGAATAACTAAACCTGCATGCTCATGTACACATGTTGGGAGAGGAAGGTAACAGACCATTACCATACCAGCAGCTGAGGTGCACTCAGAGAGACACTCGGATAAATACATGTACAGTCTTTAAAACACTACAAGTGTAATTCATTTCAGACCCTCAGTCACATCACTACTAACACAGTTATAAAACAGCACACACATCATGTTTAACTTCAGTTGGAAAGATGTGGTCTTAGTCACACCATACTTATTTTGGCCAATGAATGAGCAGAGACACTTGCCATGTATTTTCAGTAGCCATTCAATAATGATTACCAATACAGCAGCAAGCTCTTTACCTACGTAGATACTCATCTGTCACCGTCACGCAGTAAACCAAGCATGTAGCTCATCTTCAAACTGTCGGTCTTACTGTGTCTCACCTAAATCCAACACTTCATTCCAAAAAAATACATGTTTGGTCTGGAGAAGTAACAGTACTATATTTTGACAGAAATACTACTGAGGGAAAAGAAAATGGCAGCTTTGCACTGCCAAAATGGACGGTTTACCAAAACTGCTGCAATGTGCCCAAGGTCGTGAAAAAGCTTGTCAGAATAAAACTCTATTACCTGTAACTGGTCTATAATGTCATGTGATTATTTCTGTTACATATCATTGCATTTGTGTCGTCCTTCCATCTGCCTTGATCTATCAGTTCGCGGCTGAGCTTGCTGAGGCTGCGATAGTAAAACAGAGTGCATTGTTCTATCTCTAAGCTATCCCACAGTTTGCAGGCTGAGCCATTAAGTATCATTACACAGACCAAATTGCAAGGAGATCACATATTTACAGATAAATATTGAGAAAGAGTTTGACTGATGGTCTATGCAGCTTTGTACATACACTACTGCCATGAGGATGGTGAAACCCTGCTGTGCTGGATGAAGTAAGTAAAGAGTGCGACGACAAACAAAGAAATGAAGAGAGGAAGGGCAAAATGAAAGATAGTGTCTTATCTCAGTGCAGCAGAGCAAGAAACATCAGCAACGATCAAATCAGAGAATCTATGGCAATTTACCGACTTGTTAAACCAAGAAAATATCCTGCAGATACAGTTTGATGCTCTGCCCAAAGTGTCCTCATCTGCTCTGCTCGAAATTAATCTTCAACTAAAGGGTTTGATTTGTGCTACCTTTGATACAATTGTGAATTTTGTCTGTGTATTCTTTTCACAGACGGCTATGGAACATTTGTGCTACGACTGCTGGACATTTCTATCTGCTTATGAATAGATTATGAATACAAGCAATCAGAAATCTGGAAAGTAATGCATTAATCACTTCAATATCAATGTTGACTTTGTGTTCATTTAGTAACCTGAGACACACCCCCTAC